TGGGCCAAATTAGAAATCTCTACAATAGATAAGCGTCTCCTTTTCCTACTCCGTGCTCTGCATAATAATACTCAGTTGAGGGTTAGGCTAAATAGGAATGGAGATCTATCAGACCCTATTAAGACCCACAGGGGAGTCAGGCAAGGTTGCCTATTAGTACGTTTTATGTTCAATTTTTATATCACCCACCAAAATTACAACATGTTTCTGTCCTATTGTATGCAGACAATGCCGCACTGTTAACTAGAACACCCGTGGGTCTTAGGAGAGCTCTCAGAAGATTTGCAGACTTTTGCATGAAGAAGGAACTTGAAATTAATTACCAAAAGACCAAGGTTATGGCCTTTGGCACTAGACAAAAGAAAAGGACCTGGTCTATTAATGGGCATTCCATTGAGCAGGTCTCCTGTTTTAAATTCTTAGGCACGGTCCTTCAATCTTCAGGGGCCAAAAATGCCCAGATACAGTATGTGGCGATGCAAGGTGAAAGAACTGCAAATAACATCCTTAAGTTTTATCATACAAAAGGGGCTCATTTCATTCCAGCTCCCCACCCCACCCTTTTTTTCTTGGTTATTGATGACATGCACCACTGCCTGATTGTCACACTAGAACTGGACCCTTTTGTCCCTGAAGTGCTCCTATTAAATGACAACTAACACTAAAATTATAAAGAGCTCCAGAAAAATCAGAACATGTGAGATATCGGTCCTTGCCCAGTGAGATGGCCATGGCTGCAGACACCAGTGTCCCTTGAAGTAGACCCTGAAGTCTATGCTACCTGAAGTGTCTGACTGGACCTGGACAGGTGAGCTCAGCTCCAAAGGTTCCTGCCACAAAGAAACTCCATTGAAGTTGGACAGAAAGAAGAGCCAAATTTTGAGATCCTCCCTCATGCCCTGATATGATCAACTTGATAAGGTGATGTGGGAAGGTTGCCCCCATTGTGGCCCTGACCAAGCAAGCACAGAAGTCCTGCCCTGAGGACACCATCCAGCAAGTGAAATTTAAATGCCCGAGGGACCAGAGTACTTTAGGGTACACTTCCTGTGAGAGAGGTCATGGAAGACAAGGGCCTTAAGTGCCAGCAGCTTGTCCACAGGGAGGCAGGAGGTCCCAGTGACAGAATCCAGGTGAATGCCAAGTCAACCAGCTTAGTGATAGGCCATTTACTTTTTTCATGAGCTAGTGGGACCCCCAACTTGGCCATTGTCCCGGGAACGGGACTCCCGACCCCCCGAGGCTCGGCTCCCCGACCCCAGACGACTGCTCAGCAACACTCCCGCAGCCACACTTACCAGACAGACCTCGGGAAGGTTCGGGAGGAGCAGGACAGCCGGCGGCGGGGAGCGGGGAAACCGACGGGGGGACGGGGCGAGAGGCGTCGCCAGGCGAGAGAGGAGAGCGCGCCGGGGGAAGAGACGCCGGCGTCGTCTCGCGACCACGCACAGGGCCTGGGGGCCGGGGGCGGAAGGCGAGGGCAGAGGAGTCAGCGGCACGCTCCGGAGCCGGCGCGCGAGCACGCCCACGCCAACGGGCGGCGTGGAGAAGCGCCCGGCACATTGGAAGCCTGACCACACCCACGGGGGAGCGTTGCGCTCTTTGTACGGGGGCGGGGCCAGAGAGGGGGAACGACCCAAGGGAAGGCAGGGCATGCTGGGACGGGGAAGCAGGGAATAAAAGGGGGAGAAAGGAGGCGGCCAGGGATGACTCCTGGATGACGGAAGGTATAGAGAGAAGCAACCGGCTACATCCAGCAGGGAGTAGTGAGGGAACGGTGACTTAACCTTCCCCACGCTCCAGGTGTCTGAGGCCTTTATCCTCCGGGGAGGCGCGGGACGGGCAGGCAAACCAGAGTGGCAGAAGTCAGGACGTCGGGGAGTTCGAGTGACGAGGACAGTGGGGCATCGTCCTCCAGCTCCTGTGACAGCCATCAAGGACTGAAAGGCCACAATGTTCCATGGACAAACAGCACTCCCCACTGGGCCCACAAACAGGAAGTCATCCAAGTAATGAGTAGAGTTGCCAGGTCCCCACCGTTGCAGTGGGGGACTTAGGGGGCATTCCAGGGGTGGGTGGGACATCACACATGTCCCTGATGCGATGACATCACCCAGAAGTGATGACATCGCATCAATGATGTCACACATGATGCTCTGGCTTTGGGGCAAAACTCTATGGTGTTTTTACCTTCATAACTATAGAGTTTGCCTTGAAAACCAGAGCATCGCCACGTGACATCCTGGCACAATGACATCGCCTGGAAGTAACATCGTCATGTTGGGGATGTCGCACAACATCCTTGTTTGGGGGTGGAGTTTCACCACCTGGCTGGTGGCGGATCAAAGCCCCCAAAAGTGAGGGAACCCACTCTGGGACCTGGGGGCTGGCAACCTTGGTAATGAATATTATGGGGTTCCCTATCCTGTCCTTTGTGGCTCATTCCAAAAAGATACTAAACATTTTGGTTGCTGCAGAGACCACAGAACACCCCATGGCTTTGTCAACATACCAGGACCCTTGAAACATAAAACCCAACAGGCAAAAATCTTGGGGGTGCATGAGCAGTAGGCAGAAGGTCGATGGGATATTGCATTTGGCCATAAGGGCAGCACTATTGGATGTCCTAACTAGGTGAATGGCATGATTAAAGGAAGCATACTCAACAGAACAAAATTCAAGGGGGATGGCTTCATTGACCGAGGAGTCCTTGGGGTAGGAAAAGTGGTATATCAGCCAGTACCCTCTGGTTGCCTTTTTTGGGCACCACCCCCAAGGGGAAAATACAAAGATTAGCGACAGGGGCAGTGAAGGGGCCAGCCACCTAGCCCACAGTGCATTCCTTAGCCATCTTGGCAGCCACAACATCAGGCATATCTCTGGCCGAATTGAGATTGCTGGATCTATGGGGATGTGGGTCCGGTGAAAGAAATGTGAAAACCATAACTAAAACCATCCCAAAGATATCTAGTGGTTGACTTAAGGGGGAGTGGGTTAGGAGAGGCGGAGGCTGCCCTTCTAACAGGAGTGATGGGCAGCTGCCATTCTGGGACTGAGATATTTCCCCGTGGTGGGGATGGGAGCAGGGGTGATGTTGGACCCCCCTTGTCACTATGAGACACCAGCTTATGGAGCACCTTGTCGTACTCGATAGCTGCAGAGTTCCCATCCAGGGCCTGGGCACGCAACATGTTTCTGAGATGACTGAGGAGGTGTCAACCTCGCTTGGTTTAGGCAGACTAAACCACCCCCATAAACACTGTGTAGCCAGCCAATCAGTTAATGAACATGCAGTTGGTCTCCTCCCTCTTATTCCCCTTCTTATCTCTCTTTGAGGGGTGAGCACACTGACCCTCCTCAGCCTCCAGTCTAAGGAGGGGAAAATATCAACATAATATCCATCAAGGATCCATCAAGGCCAACAGGAGGCAGGGGTGAACGTTCAGCCACACTGCTCAATGTCCAGCTGCCCCTGGCCACTAAACCTCCTGACACAGCTGGATGAAGGCAGGCAACAGAGAAGCAGGAAGCCCCTGGAGAAAGCAGCCCCAAACATCTGCATTGCTTGGCTCCACTTCTGGAAACTTCTCAGTCACATGTTGCCTCTTGATGGCACTTCTCTCAGTGACTCTTCTCCATCCCATGCCACTTCCAGCCATCACTTCCTTCCATTCTGATGCTGCAGCCGAGATTCCTGTCGAAAGCCAGGCGGCTGACTGAGTCTGGTGGTGTGCCAGGGTCCTTTTTAACCCAGCTGGGAGGACCCAACAATCTGCCCATCTGAGCCTTGCCCCTCTTGTGGATGATTGGTCGGGCCTGGGGGAGAACAACACTGTGGGCTTGTGTCACTGCAAAGGCCTGAGGAATGCCACCCATTCATGGCTCCAGCACAGACAGCCCAGCCACCTGCATCCCTCTTCTCCCCCATGGACCCCCAAACAAGACCCTGGTGAATCCAGGGACCCTCGCTTCTAAAAGCGTTGGCATCAATAGGAGGGTGTGAATCTGGTTGTTATTGTATTGTTAGCGCCAAATACAAGCAGTATTCTAAACTGGTGAAAGCACATTTTGTTGTGGTTATATTTTGGGGCAGTGTGCCATAATGAAAAGACAATTTCTGTTATATTGCTTCAGGGTAGTCCTCTGAAGCTACCCTGACATGGTGAATTTGCTAGATTTGAACCAAGGTGCTTTCAGTGCTTAGCTTTGGGACTGATTGATATGCAGCACCTTTCAAGCTGCAACTGGGTCACTAGATGTGAGTTTACAGGACAATTATTGTGACATGCAGTTAGACGTAGGTCCCTTCTTCACTTTTTTTGGATATGCCTTTTCCTAACTTTTTAATGTTTCAGAGTAATATCTCTATATTATTGAGTTGGTATTGGAAAAGTCTCAATGACTAGGTTAGACTGGCAAATGTTACAGCAGCATAATAGTAGTAGCAATCACTTTGACCAGTGACCCAGATGATAAAGGAATAATAGCTGCCCTTAATAGGCAACCTGGTATTTGTCATAGCAGTCATTGTCATGATAATTGTCTAGGATTAAGGACATAATTATTTCTGGCAGGCTGCTTATTGTTGACTGTCGGATTCCCCATTCAAGGTCAAAATAGGTATTTCTTTTTTTAAAAAGAAATCAAATATAAATTTGGCAGTGTATTATAATATCCTGGTTCCAGTTTTGTCAGGCATTGGTATAAAGGGTGTTGTGACTACCCTGTACATGAATGGCAGTACATCCGCATTTCATCTGACTGCTAACATTTTCCTTCAGAGACTCGTTATTAAACTTGGGGTGGGGATGGGGGGTTGGAAGCAGAAAAGAGATTTCTTTGAAACATTTCAACTGGAACACATCTGTAGATCGCTGATTTAGCTGGATATGCCATTCATATTGTCTTTTGTAAATATGGTTACAAACTGGAAGCAGAGACAGGAGGGTGTTGCTGGGCTGGAGGGCATTTGTGACTGAGTTTCTCTTCACCTGCCACAGGTTATGTGTCGGATCCCATGAGTACGATGCGATTTCATTCCTGCAGCAACAGCGGCAGCTTTGAAGACAGCGGCTGACAGCAGGAACGATCTACCTGTAGAGAGATGCTCCACGAACTGGCAGCCACAATTCTTTCTGTGTCACTGCAGCCCCCAGTCATTGTACATTACTTCAAAAAGCCCTACTGTTGGCATACTTATTTACTGATCACCAATGCTTCTGCCATAAATTATTCCTCAACTGATTCTTTCTATACTCATAACATAAAGAAGGAGAGGAAAAAATAAATCAGCTATAAATTGCAGAGTTTGGAACTGCATTTTTTGCCTTGAGAAGGGACCACATGGAGGCCAAGGCAGGCAGTTAAGGACTTTGGAATATATTTCCTCCGCTGGGCTTGAGTGGATGAAAGAAGGGTAGTTGTAACATGGCAGTTCTAGTTGGGGTCTCCTGTAATGTAGCAATTACCCTCTCTTCCTCTTGCAGGAAATATATTGTTCCGTCTTCCCATAAGATTACCAGCACGCGCTCTCTCTCTCCCTCTCTGTGTCTCTCAGCTGCAAGTTCTTGGATCTTGTCCATTAGTTCTGCAGCATCCCTCACTGGCTTTAGCCCCAACAAGCACTGTTAATCTAGTCTCGACTTCTTCTGAAAGCATGTGGGATGCCTTCGCCTACTGCATATTGAAGCACTCAGTAGGTCCAGGCAACACCTCAGGAATGCAACAGCTGACTAGCCAGTCTTGTCTCTCAGAGGGCATTGTGCTGAATCAAACACTATCATCTTAATTGAGCTTTTGTGAGTCAGAGCCCATTTCTTCAGATGCACTCAGTATTCCTGTCACTTGGTGGAAATGTACACATGGGTACCAACAGAAGAGGGGGGCAATTATTACAAAATGAGGTTAGAAGGTCAGGGAAAAGGTGAGCTGCGCTGTCACACAACTGAAAGCCACAATTAAGGCAAAAGAGTAAGTGACCCAAACAGTGGAGCACCTAGTTATGACTGGCAAAGCGAGATGGGCGGCATACGTGAACATCTGCTGAGGGACAAGGACTTTATGTAGTGAACGAATCACTCCCACTTTCTACCGAATCTGAGCCTGATAGCATGAAATCTGCAAATGAATCCCACCTCAGCAGCTTTACCTTGTGTCTCCCTTTGAAATGTTTTTGCTGAAGTATGGTGACTTTCAAGTCTGTTACTGAATCTCCGGGGAGGCTGAAATGCTCTGTTTAATGTTTACCGATTCATTTGAAACCTGTCCTTGGTGATAGGCTCATTGAAGTTTTGCATATCCAGCATCAAGATTTATATGCATTAGGACACAGGTTTCCCTCTGGTTCCTATTCTTGCGTATAATTGGACAAGACTGTGCCAAGCTTGGGAGTGCAATTTAATCAGAATACTGATGATGCCCAATTGTCTTTGTGTGGATTCTCATCTTAGCCTCTTCGCAAAGCTCCACAGAGATGGAGGACCCTGTCTCCCTGCACTGGCTTCCTAAGGAAGAAAAGGAACACGTGTCGGCCCCCCCCCCCCCCGTCCGATGCAGGCAGTTTAGAGTCTCTCCTCCCTTTCACATGTCCTGGCTGAGACCCCTTCCCTGGTGTTACGTTACTTGCCTTAACAATCCATCTGCATGGACAGTTAAATGTGAAGGCAGTTTATAAGCAATGAAAGATCTTTTTCCTTTGGACAGTTTTGGTGGGGCATCAGAATGGCTTCCTTCTAAATAGCACTGGCATCAGCAGCTGCTATCAGGGCCGGTGCCCAGCACAGACCAAACCTTTCCAAGCCAACTCCTGAGGGAGCTGGATGGATCCATTTGTGATCCACAGGCAGCCTCTTCTCTGAGCTCCTTGGCCTACATCCCCCCTCTTGTGCTCAGTTAGCCTCAGCCTCTGCTTGGGTGAGCTGCAGTGAAGAAGAGGAACAGTTTCCCCCATCCCCCAGTGGGACCCAGAAAGGCTGGGTGGCTTATGCTTCATGGCTCTCGCCATCTCAAGTAGCATCTGGTGGTGAGAGAGAGGCTGATTCTGCATTGGCTTTTCCCTCCGTTGTTTCATGAAACCCTCGTTGGTACAGAAATTCCCTTCTGCATTGCATGCTGGTGTCACTCCCTTTGATTATCAGGATTTATGACCGCTTCCGCACTCCATGCCACTTTCCCTTTCTGTGATCCTCCAATATAATAGATAGATTTATGGCCGTTTTATGGCCATTCAGGGGTGACTCTGCAGTCAATATGGTGTTGCCCTGAGGTATTTGGATATGGTTTTGAGCTGCACTTTCCCCTCCCAGTTGAGAAAATGTGGAGCAAATGCTAGATGCCGAGAGAGAGAGAGAGAGAGAGAGAGAGAGAGAGAGAGAGAGAGAGAGAGAGGAGTAGTGTTCCCTTGGGCAACTGGGGAGGGGAGGAGTCAGAGGCCAGGGGTGCAGTAGACAAAGGAGAACAGCAGGGAGATTTCAAGAGCCAGTATGATACAGTGTTTGGGATGCCAGACTAAGATCTGGGAGACCCAGGTTCAAATCCCCACTCTGGAAACTTGTGGAGTGTCCTTGAGTTCGTCACACACTGCCTCACATGGTTGTTGTGAGAATAAAATGGAAGAGAACCACTTTGGATCCCCATTGGGAGAATGGTGGGGGTACACATGAAGTAAATAAATGGATATATTGAGGAGGCTTACACTCCCAATAGCATGAATAGAGGCGGCCAAAATAAAATACCTCCTTGGTCCTATATATCTCCCCTTGGCCTCACTGTGTTTTAAGGAAGGGGCACAGTCACCAAGCAGAGAGGATCCACTGCAGATCTCTTGCTGGGAGCCCACTAAAACCTGATGCTGGATTTCTTTTTTAAAGAATAAAGATAGCTCAGTACTTGGGTGAGGTACAATGGACAATCACGTGAAAAACAGTACAGAAAAACACTTAACACCTCATTTATAACGCTGCATTCTATTCCAGGATGGAAGAGGAAGGAAATAAAGAGGGTGTCTTTGTGTGTACACATACAGAGAGAGAAAGAGAGCGACAGACACACAGACACACACACTGCTTGTATCTCCATTGGATACTGGTGTGGCGCCTGCAAGATTCTGACTGACGGAGCTGAAACACTCTCATTGCAATACTGCTCCACAGTGCCACCTAGTGCTTTCTGAGATGAAGACTCTGGAAATCCAAGAAAGTCTTCCCCTCCCTCATTTTTTATTGTTCTGAGTCAATATGCATGTTGTGCAAACACAGATATGAACATATTAAAGCAAAACAGAGGGATGGCATAACTGCTGAGCAAAAGTAAATAAAAAGGGAAAGGTTCATGCATTGTCATAATGAGCCTAGTCCCTATAGAGGTGGAGATTTTCTTGCCTTAGATTTCCAGTTAGCATTTTCCTGCTAAATGTAGCCCTTTATAGACATTTAGGTTTGGCACTACAACTACATTTAATAAGAGTGTGACCTTCATTTAATCTTCCCAATATGCACAATTGTTGTTTTATGTGAATGGGGCAATGTGCATATTTTCCATGAATGTACAACTTCAGTACATGCAAACAGATTTTTTCTCTCTCTAGGGAATATATCCATGCATAGCGAAACTGCAAATGGAAAGTATGTGTGTTGTCCCATTCACCCAAAATGGCAAGTGTGAGTACTGGGAGGATCAAGCATTACATTCCCATTTTGTGGTTGGAGCACCAAAATCAAACATCTGGAAAGGGCTTGTACGCGTGTCAGATGACTGTTAAAAGTGGTGCTGGAACTGAAGTGTGAAATGACTGGATTCAGTATTCAAATTTACCCACCTTACAATACCATATTTTGAAGCAAACCAGCCCTTGTCCTCAGTAGTCATCTTCTGCTTGTTATTCAAATAAATAGTATTGCAAGTGGCTTTTAACATTTTAAATTGCATTTTCAGATTAAAAAGAATTAACATGGATTAAAATGCATTCAAAAGCAGCTATTCATAAAAATTGGGGAAATGAAAAAAAGCAGCTATTCTATTTGATCAGTGTCCAAGAGAGCTTGGGTATTCCTTTGAACATTAAAAAAAAATGAGTAAGGAGGAAAGTGTTAGAGCTGAGTGGGCATTCCATTCCATTATTGTCATGTACAACAATAGCCGTGCAATCCAAATGAGAGTTCTCAATAAAAAAGGTAGCTATGTTTTTTTCAAGTAAGTAAATAAATGGAAGCCTTCATAGATGTGTGATTCTTGTGAGTTAACTGCAATTCAAGAAAAGGGGAGTGAGATCAAACTGGCAATAGTACAAGTGAACAAGGCAAAAGGTTTTGTTGCCTTTGATGCCAGACTAAAGCGAAAATATTGTTTGGTGCACACATGGGGGAGGAATATTGGAGGAAGCAAGGGAGACAGATACCCTTGTACTTGCTAATAATCATGGCAAGGCTGTGAATCTTAGATTTCCCCCCCCCACACACACACAGAGTTCTTATCCTCGCCTTCTCAGTCCAGTGTATATTGGTCTCTTCCCCTCCTATTTTATCCACAAAACAATCTTGTGAGATCTGTTTGGTGGGCCAGAGGTTGACTAGCCCCTGAACCTACCGGTAGTGTTCCCAGTGGGCTGGTGCCTGGAAGGCCCAATGGAGTCAAGAGGAAGCTGAGCCAAGTGGTTCCTGTGCTGCTAGCAGTGCTACAGGCTGGTGTCACTCTCACCACACCCTATGGCACTGCTGCCACCACAGGGGCCACTGAGTTCAGCTTGCATCAGGGCTGTTTGTTTCTGTCACCCCAGCCCTCTCTTGACTGCTGCTAAAGGCCCAGAGCAGGGTCAGTTTAAAAAGCAAATACTTTATACAGCCCCTCCTTATATTTCTTTTATAGAGGCCACTCAAAATACTTCAGTGGGATTTTTTTGTCCTTTAAGTTTGAATTATTCAATGCAAAATGTTAAGTGGGTTTTTTCCCCATCCAAAAAAAAAAAAGTTTTGCAACCTTTCTCCTTCATTGTCTTCTCTTTTCTGGGTCTCTTTTTGCCTAGTTGAGCATCACTGAGCACAAGAGGCACAATTAAGATACAGCCCACATATGTGGTAGAGAAAGCTGAAAGTGAACTTTGATCTTTCTTTTTCACAGTAATGAGCAAACTCTGCTTTTTGGGAGGAAAAGGAAGAAGCCAAGGGCTTCCTTTGACAGCTGGGAGTGAGGGTAGGGGAAGAACCACCTTAGATGCCAAGATGACATCTGTAGAAATGTGGGGATTTGGGTGGGGAGGTGGTAATTCCCTGGAGAACTGTAAATA